ATAATTATCAGGATTTTCACCCTTTACCATATTACTGGTAATACTTCCGTTATTATTAGCTGTACGTTTGTACAGACGCGTCGCCAGAAATTTTTTATAAGGGTGGCCAGGCAATAACCAATGTACACTGAGGGATAGTGGAAAGTGGATCTGCACCAGAACCTCAGGGTCAATCTACACTGTTCCAACAGGAAAATTAATGAGCAAAACATCCCTATTTTCTAAATAAAGACTAACTATACTTTTCTACAGCCTTTGATAACAAATAGACACATATATTCAAACATCCGTAATTTCTAGATAAAAGGTATAATGGATAAAACTCAGCTTTGAGTTCCCAGGTGTAAATCTTTTCGATTGTCATTACTTACCTACTTGTATCAATAAATATTCTGCATAAAATTAATATTTACAAGCACTAATATCTACATAAATTGATTATTTGATACGTTTTTATTAATATTGTTATTCATCTTTGATTTCACTGAAGACTCCTAGGTGACTTGCAGAGACACATTTTCTCTTTACCCCAAATAACACAAAATCTGGTTCTTAAAAGAGCATGAACTCTATACTTATCATCTTTGATGTTAGTATATTGATATGTATAAATAACCACAAAAATTTTTAATGTTTTGAATATTCCACTTTAGAGTAGGCCTATTACTGTTGCCACCATCTGTATTAGAAGGAAAAAATGGTAGGGGTGGCCACAGTGGTGACCAATGATTGCCCCCCCACAATATTCACACATATCAAGCTTTCTTTTTTTTTTTTAAGTTCCTAGAATTATTTTTTTTATTATTGCAAAAAAAAGAACATGCATGAACCATATAGAATGTTAATCATTGCAAACATATACAACAACAAAGGGCTTTACAGAACAGAACTATTATTTTAAAATGTCAAAATCAAATCTATGCTCGAGGATTATAATTCTTTAAGGGCAGATATAATGTGCATGGTTTTAGCATTTGAAATACATTTTGAGGATTCTATATAGATATTAATAGAAGATAATAAAATCAGGAAATTAGCTTTTTTTTGTAAATATTTGGAGGTGTGACTATGATATTTACCATGAATAATAAAAACATGTATAACATACAAAAATTCTGTTTTGACAAGTTCATGTTTCTCCATCCCAAACAAAACATCCAAATAAGTTACAGTAATATTTAAAAAAAAAAATTTTATGAAAAAAAAATTGACATATTTTGGTATAATTACAATCCCAAAAAAGACAAATAAGCTTTTCTTCATTATTTTTTACAAAAAGTATACATTGGGTCCAAATTCCATTTAGCCTATATCATTTTTATTTATTTATTTATTTTTTTCATCAAAAATGCTTTAAATGGATAAACATTATGAATAATTTTATAAGAAATTTCTCTTACTTTATTGTTTATTAAGTATTTTTTAAGAAGCAACCAAGTCCACTTCCAATTCATATTTTCAAAAGTGTTACTAATGTGACTAATATACAAAAGAAGATTAGGGCCACTGAAAAAATTTAAAAAGTGAACTTATTTTTAAATTTCATTTCTGTCAGAATTCTGACTTTAATCTCAGAATTCTGACTTTTTTCTCAGAGTTCTGACTTTATTCTCAGAATTTTGACTTTTTTTTTTTAGAATTCTGTTCTCAGAATCCTGTCTTTAATCTCAGAATTCTGACTGAATTCTGACAGCTAACAAACATGTTATTAACAATCCCATGTCATGTCTGTTTTAGAGACTAAACTAGCTCTCTTATTTTAATCACCTTCTGCTCTTCCATTAATGTAATAGCATCACCGGGGACCCCTTGGGCACGTATAAAGTCATTTTCCACCAATGTGTTACTGGCCCTCTCAAACAACTCACATCTCTGTCGGTGAAGCTGAGTGCTACCACCTTCACCTATGTTAAGATGGGAACCATGTTCTGAAATATTCTGAGAAAAAAAAAGTCAGAATTATGGGGAAAAAGCCAGAATTCTAAGAAAAAAAAATTCTGAGATTAAAGTCAGAATTCTGAATTTTTTTCCTATATTAAACTGAAATAACATTTAAAAATCAGTTAACTTTTTTTTTATTTTTTCAGCGGCCCTAATCCTCTTCATACTATTCCTAGAAATGCCAGCATACGACGTGTCCGTGAATGCATCATGGAGCTGGGCGGTAACCAGGGGTTATTACTGTAGGGTGGAGCAGCTGGGGAAAGCAGTCTGTCTCCACCAGAAGCGGACAATGTTTCTCCAAAAGTGTTTGGTTTATTTAACGGCGGTATGCATGTTCTGCTACATTATTACCGTGAGCGTCACGCTCAGTGTTTTAAAGGTCCTCACGCCAAACCTCGCAAAGAAACTGATCCTGAAAATGGGAGAAAAGGTGACCATGACCCAAAACCCAAAGTTTAGCTACGAGGATTGGGGCCTGACTTTTGGATCTCTTACATTTCTCAAAGTTGCTTGTCAGACTATGTGGCTCTCATTGAGACAAGAGGCTTTTGCAGGCGGAGAAGCTCCAGACTCACCTGTGATCAGCATGAACAGAGAGAGAACCAGCATCTACCAATACATGAAAGGTGAGTTATAAACAGGTGCGGTTCTAGTCAAAGATTTCTCGGGGGGCCAAGGCGGGGCCACTGTTTTTTCATGGGGCACAGAAAGAAGAATGGAAAAAAAATTTTTTTTAAACAAAATTTTTGTTTATTTAGAGCATCAATGAAACAAAAAATCATATTTTCAAAGTACATCACATAAGAACAATAAACCTTCATAAACATGTACACTAACATTT